CTGAAATAACGAAAACCACGGCACAAAACTTTCGATCGAACATTGAATATCGTAATTCAGCTCTTCTTGATCATCTTGACGCTTAAGCTTGGTTTGCTGAAGCCAAGCTGTCCTTGACTCAGAATAGCGCCCAAGTCGTAATCGGACGCATTGGTAGTGCTGAAATCCTTCAGTAGGTCGGGTGCTATCAACAGTGGTTCGCTGCATAAGATTTCTCTTAGTTGTTCAAATGTCTTTTGCTTTTTTATCCTCTATTTAAATTCAATGCTTGAAGACGTTATTATGGAGAGGAGCCTCATTATTTTTGCGTAGCTTTTTATAAACTTTCGGTAATATTTCGTTAAGCCAAGCCATGATTTCGTCTTGAAAGGCATGGGAAACTTGGCCTCGATTTTCTTTAGGTCTGGTTTGATAAGGCCATTTCCGGCAATGTGGCCAAGGATCGTGGCTTTATGTTGCAGCAATTGGTACTTTCGTGATTCGATCGTGAAATTGGCTTCAGACGTTTAAACCGCGTTTTCCGTTTTTACAGCGTCTAGCCTGGATGAACACTACTACATTGTCTAAATAATGGTAGAGTTCGTTGCCTTGTAACCCTGTCAAGGCGAGATCCATTAAGCGTTGGAAGATCACTGGGGCATTTTTCAATACCATCCCTATACGATTGTACTGAAAATGATTGCGGGGCTTGAAGAATGCTATTTTATGTGTCATTTTTTAATAAGATAAATTGTGCTGAGGCTACGATTTCGACAATATCGATGGTAATGAAGAACAGATAGCCGTCTCCGACTGTTATAAAGTTAAACGAGCAGAAATTCGTAACCGTTTGAAATTTCTTTTCGCCATCAGGCTCGGGTTTTTTGGCACGATCCACTTTAGAAAATTATATGGCGAATTTAAGAATTTAACAATGTTAGTTTAAAAATATAAAAATACAAAGTAAATACAAAAAAAAAATAGTATCAATTCAACTAGAAGTACAAAATTAACAGATTAATAACGTAGTGATAAAATTTAATTAGATAGAAAAGTACAAAATACAAACATTAAACTAATAGTGAATATTTACGATGGGGAAGAAAACAGCAGTCAGTTAAACAGGGATTAGCTATCGGAATTGAAAGATGTCTGACTTAACAGCTATTTTAAATAATCCAACATTAATACAGTGGATATCGATGGGATTCGACAGAATATTAACAATAATACAGGACCGATCAATTACAGAAACATGATTAAGATTTCCTTCACGAGGACGGATGCAAAAAGTATGTTAACGAGGTCGAAGGATACGGGGTGGAAGAGCATACAAGATTCGATCGTGAAGAAAGCATGAATCAATGAGATTGTGACACAGTTTATATACAAACAATGCCGACTGATATTTAATAAAAGATATAACAGAGCAAATTTTAGATTTTGTAACTACCTCCGAATAGTCATGAGAATACACGTCTATACGTTAACTAAATTTGTTAGCCAGAAAACGCAGAAAACGATGCTGTACAATAAATAAAACGTTTAAAGAGTAATCATATTGAGGAGCCCATATTATAGAAGCATATATGAGCTTACACAGTACAAGAGTACAATACAGAGCAATCATAGAGTCTGGTTGAGTGAAAGAACGGCATTGTCTAAATATTGCGAGAGCTTGCGAAGCCGATACGCAGGATTGGCTTACATGAGAACCAAAGTTAAGACTGGTGTCCAACACCACACCCAAGTTCCTGAACTCAGAAACTCTGTTTACTGCAAAGAAATAGTAATATTCGACTGGTACCCTTTTGCGTGAAAAAGACAAAATTGTCCACTTATTAATATTTAACGATAGGCCATTAATTTACACTAATTATAGAACCTTTGAAGGTCGGCTTGTAACTCCATTGCATCGCTGTAAGTGGATACCAACCTAAACAACTTCGCATCATCCGCGTAAAAACAAATTTTAGAGAATTTTATGACAGAATGATCGTCATTAATAAAAATGATAAATAATAATGGACCCAGGTGACAGCTCTGCGGTATATTGGATTCTGCTATATACTCAGATGATACAAATTGCTGTAGCTTTACTGAGTACATACGATAAGAATTACACCATGCGAGCAATACACCATTGACACCATAATACGAGAGTTTAGCTATCAGCAAGGCATTGTTAACGCAATCAAATATGAGGCTGAGATCAGTATATACCGCATCCACCTGGGCATTCACTTGAAATGCATCCGTAACATACTCAACAAACTCAGCCAGGTTATTAATAATTGAGTGATTAGAGACGAACCCATGCTGAGAAGTATTTATAGAACGTAGAAGAAAAGACGACCATTTCAATGTTACCAAACTGTCAAACAACTTAGAAAGAACATTAAGCTTAGATATAGGACGATAGCTTGCAATTTTATTTTTATCACTACGTTTTTTTATAAACAGGAATAATATATGTTTGCTTCCAACATAAGGGAAAGATACCCGTATGAAGGGATAGGTTAAATATAAAAAGTATTGGTTCCAACAGATTATCTAAGTAGTTCACAATGAATGCAGAAGGGACACCATCTGGGCCCGCACTAAACGAAAGTTTAATTTGAGACAGCTCCTTCTTAAACTCATCAATGGTAAAAATCAGATGAGAGAGCGAGAAACTATCATACGCCACATCGGAGAAGTCATTAAAGCTAGAAGTGACACTATACGAGGGTGGTCCGATAAGTACTTAGCCTCACCGCCCGATGGCGCCACTCTCGCAAAATAAATATTCTATCACGTAGTACAACCTACTCGATGGTTACTGTCAAGATTTCAGCCGGATCGGAGTTGTAGTTTATTTTTGAGAGCGTGTGAAAGCAAGTGTGTCCGTTGATTTTTGAAAAATGAAAAAAGAGCAGTATCGGTCGGTGATTCGATTCTTGTTTTTGGAAGGGAAATCGCACAGAGAAATCAAAAAGCGCTTGGATGCTGTATACAGTGACTCTTCTCCTTTGATGACAACCGTCAAAAATCGGTTTAACGAGTTTCAATGTGGTCGCACGTCTTGGCATCATCTCGCATTAAATTAGAATAATTTTTTTTCTCAAAATAAAGATACGTACCTATAAAATATAAAAAATGGCCTTTATATGATGAAAATGGATGGAGTTATGCGCATTCAAGTAATGGCTAAATTTCTATCAAAATTTTTGTTAGGATAATTTTGTTGCGTAATATATACAATACACACGTGTATGTGTATAATATATATATAATATTATATAATATTATATTTAATATATACAGGTTGATTCAAAAACATTAAAGGAAATTGGTATTGCCGGATTCGTATCCAAAAATTATTTAAGAATCAATTATTAGTTTTTTTTTGACAATCGAGTAATTACATAATTAGTTTCAAAGATCGACCAATCAGCGCGCGGCTTTGGAAGTATAGGCGCTCGGTGGCGAGCGGGGAGCAGTGAGACGGACTGCTATGAGCGCGCCACAGCTAAACAAAAACGGTACTCAACCTTCATGCGTGGCATTATATTTCGATTGAAATTGAAATACGTTTTCATAATATTAGAAATATGATAATAATGATAATAGTAATGCCAAATTAATTAATCTATATTTATTTTTTGTCATTGAGAAGCTAGATTTTTTCAACAAATGTCTTGTTCATAATGTATTTTCCAACATTAAAAACCCCCCAAAAAATACCAATTTCCAATATGCTATGAACAAAAAATGCTATCTTTGTACATTTTTCATGTTCAGCAACGTGTTAAGTTTACAAGGATAAAATAATTGAAATGAAACATCAAAAATGATAAATTTAAATATGATTTTTATATCTTTTTTCTTAAATAACTCGCTCTAGCTTCCAGAAATATTATTAGAATTGATTCATTATTTTTTTCAAATGCGTATAATGGTTTTGCAAATACGTTAAACATATACAAAAATAATTGTGAAATAATATTATTTATTTGTTTAATTTTAAGTAAACGATTTCGAGTGACATGTTTTTAGTGTACATTCAACGATGATATTTATGCAAAGAAGTTGGAGACTAGAATAACCTTCAGTGAGACATTTATTTAATAATAATCAAGGAAGATTTCTGTAAAGTTTCAGATCGATTCAATGAATAATCACTGAAATAAAGCATTTTTAACACAAACGCGCGGTCTTGCACGTGGCATCGTTGTACGCTGCTGTCACGTAAGCATCATTTCGTTGTTACCACCAGGGCACGGATTTGGTATAAACGCTCTATTTCAGTGATTATTTGTTGAATTGATCTGAAACTTTGCAAAAATCTTCCTTGATTATCAATGAACAAATGTCTCGCTAGGAGTTATTTCAGTCTACAATATTTCGTATATTTCTTTTATTGAATTTAATGAACCAATATGACTCGATATTGTTAAAAATAAATTGTAATTAATATTATTCCCTATTATCTTTTTTGCACATTCGATGTGCACGTTTGGTAGTGACGCGCATTAAAAAAATCGTTCGATTTTGATCATTTATCGAATTCAGAACGGAAATATAAAACAAATAAATCTGTCAGCTACTATTTTTTTTCTCATATTATAACCAAGTTGCAAAAGTCGTTAGTTGCTATTACAGTAGTGATCAACTGTAAGATGAAGAAGTACTGTTTGGTTTTGTGGAAAGGTGTTGTGAGGGAGTTTAGTGTGGTGCGTTCGACGAATGTGAAGCGTATGAGAGAGGGATTTAAAGTTAAATTTCAGAAAAAGTGGTTTACGGCGGACGTTATAAAAAATAGCGGTGAGTATTTTTAATATTAATTATAAACTCTTTGAATATTATATTTAACAATAAACACTTTATAAACTCGAAGCACACAATTACAAAAAATCTTTGTATTTATTTTGCCATTAGAAATACATTAGATTGAAGTAATTATAATGTATTATAATACATTAGATTAAAGTAATTATATACATCTTACAGAAGTACACTAGTTATTTGGTTATTAACATTTAAAATTTTCAGTCTTGGTTCCGTTAAATTATTCTGTAGTATATTATAATCCTTACCAAATTCAATATTCAAATGATGTTCAACAATATTAATATCCTCTTTTTTTGTACAGTTAACGACTATTGTTTTTAGTTTCAACTAATTTATCTGTCGGTACTATGATATTATTTAGAAGTTTGTCCGCTACCGTTTTTAGTATTTGATCCTTATGCAATAAATTTTTTTGCTTGATTATTGGTGCAGGCTTATGATTTATTTTCAATGTTTCAGACTTCGGAATTTCTGCAAAGGATGGAAAGTTAGTTCTTAAGGGATCATACTTATTATATTATCGCTATTATGTTCTAGATTAAGTTTATCTAGTACAAGTTTGTTTCGAGGAATTCTTTCAATTACACAGGCACACAAAAAATAAAAAGTGGTCTGTATCAAAAACAACACACATATATTCCCATGTATTTTGCCACGCTGAATCCGAATCCGCAGTCAGTTTGACCCCAGCACGTCAGGATCAAGGTCATTTGAAGGTCAAACTCGAATAAAAGTAGTATAAAAAAATGTAACTAGTATTTCTATGGTTTCGAGGGTCGCTGAATATAAATCCGTCATCCCCTTGACCCAAGCACGCCAGGTTCAAGGTCATTTCAAGGTCAAACATAGATATTGCACGAAAAGTTGAATTCTGACTACAGATTTTGAAAGTACGGAAAAAATTACGTTCAGAGACAATTTTTTCAATTTTTTTTATCGTGAATCCAGCGGTCATTTCGAGGTCATTGTATTTTGATCCCATGAAAATCAGTATGACCATTTTGAAAAAACAGAAGTACGTCTTCAATGAATAAAAAAACTCTTTCCATACGTTTTGACGGTTGCTGAATCCAAATCCGTGATCTCCGTGACCCAAACACATCAGGTTCAAGGTCATCTGGAGGTCAAACTCAAGAAAACGTAGTTTAAAAAAATGTAACTAGTATTTCTATGGTTTTGAGGGTCGCTGACTCCAAATCCAAAATTAGAATTGCTCCGACTACTCGAGTTTGGTGTGCAAAGTGATAGAATTTATACTTCTCTTCTCTTGTAACGGACCCTTTTATCTTCAAAAGATCTATGCAGCGGTTTTCTTTTTCTTTTTTCCGTTTCTGACTCGTTTTCCCTTTTAAGCATCCAGCAAAAATCTGCCATCATATTTACATCCCATCTTCCTTGATACCGGCGTTCCATCTCTTTGATATCTTGATGAAACCGTTCACCCTGTTATTCGCTATAGCCTGAAAGCGTAAGATTTTATATCACACCTACGTTTTTTGTGTGCCGGAACCCAGAGTACCTCCACGCGGTGACGGCGGGAAACGGCTTTTTTCCTTTTTTTGTTTTCCGGCAAAGCTCTGGGGTGAAAGCACGATGCCGTCATGGCCGGCACACGAGAAGGTACGATGCAGGGTTTCGGATGCTCAGTATCGGCGGTTGGTCAGGGTGAGCAAGCGGGCCCGCAAGCGTCGTCATCAAGTGACCGCAAGTCTAGTAGAATAGAATCTACTTTTCATAGGTGTGATGGAAAAACAGATGATTTCTGTTATGTTTGTGGAAAATTTGAAGTGCCAAAATATCGAAGGCTGTTATCAGATAGGTTTATAACTATTTACGAAGAATGTTTTAATTTAAAGGTTGTCAGCCAAAATACAGTCTGGGTACCTCATATGATTTGCAATTGTTGCAGAACAATATTATCACGATGGGAGAAATGTCGGACTCGTAGTCAGCTCAAATTTTCACAGCCTATGATATGGTCTGAACCTTTATGTCGAGACGATTGCTATTTCTGTATGACCAAGACTTTTGGCTTTAACGCAACTACAAAAAATAAAATCGTGTACGCTGAAGTAGCATCAGTAAAAAAGTCAATACCGTTAGAAGAGGAAGCTACTGACCAAGAACCTATGGAAGTTGATACATCACTTGCACCAAAGGAAATGGAAGTTGTTGAATCCTCAGATGAGGAAAGTGACAGTCAAAGTGATAGCAAAGAAGATGAATATTTACCAAGCGTTGTCTCGAATAATACCCCCGAAACTTTCAATCAAAAAGAGTTGAATGATCTCGTAAGATTTGGGATTACCCAAAGATGGAGCCGAGTATCTGGCCGCAGTATTGAAAAAGAAGAATTTGTTGTCCAAGGGGACCAAGGCTTATGTTTATCGGAATAGAGAAGAGAAGTTTCGTATGTTCTTTGCCAAAGATTCAGACAACTCGATGACATTCTGTACAGATGTGAGAGGATTAATGAATGAATTGAAACCTAATATTTATAAAGATGAAGAGTGGAGGTTATTTATTGACTCTTCTAAACGAAGCCTCAAAGCTGTACTTTTGAACAATGGAAACTCTTTTGCGCCTATTCCGATAGCTCATTCAACGAAGTTGAAGGAAACATACCAGAATTTGGAAGTTGTATTAGAAAAAATCAATTACTCGGATCACAAATGGAAAGTGTGCGGTGACCTTAAAATTTCAACTCTGATTCTGGGTCAGCAGTCAGGTTTTACAAAATATCCCTGTTTCTTGTGTCTGTGGGATAGTAGAGATAGAAAGCATCACTTTGTACAGAAAGAGTGGCTAAAAAGAACTGATTTCAATCCAGGCGTACAAAACGTTCTCCGGGATCCTTTAATAGATCCTTCAAAAATTTTGCTCCCACCCCTTCATATCAAACTTGGTCTTATGAAGCAATTCGTCAAAGCTCTGAACAAGGATGGAAAATGTTTTGAATACTTAGGACAGAAATTTCCAGGCATAAGTGATGCCAAACTAAAAGAAGGTGTTTTTGATGGTCCCCAAATCCGCACTTTATTCAGAGATAACGACTTTATCACAAAGATGACCCCTGTAGAATTGGCTGCATGGTCAAGTTTCAAGAAAGTAGCAGAAAACTTCTTCGGGAATCAGAGAAGTGAAGATTACGAAACTTTGGTGGAAAATTTATTAAATAGCTACAAAGAATTAGCATGCTTAATGAATTTAAAATTGCACTTTCTACATTCTCATCTTGATTACTTCCCAGAAAATCTCGGAGACTATAGCGAAGAACAGGGTGAACGGTTTCATCAAGATATCAAAGAGATGGAACGCCGGTATCAAGGAAGATGGGATGTAAATATGATGGCAGATTTTTGCTGGATGCTTAAAAGGGAAAACGAGTCAGAAACGGAAAAAAGAAAAAGAAAACCACTGCATAGATCTTTTGAAGATAAAAAGGTCCGTTACAAGAGAAGAGAAGTATAAATTCTATCACTTTGCAAACCAAACTCGAGTAGTTGGAGCAATTCTAATTTTGGATTTGGAGTCAGCGACCCTCAAAACCATAGAAATAGTAGTTACATTTTTTTAAACTACGTTTTCTTGAGTTTGACCTCCAGATGACCTTGAACCTGATGTGCTTGGGTCACGGAGATCACGGATTTGGATTCAGCAACCGTCAAAACGTATGGAAAGAGTTTTTTTATTCATTGAAGACGTACTTCTTTTTTTCAAAATGGTCATACTGATTTTCATGGGATCAAAATACAATGACCTCGTAATGACCGCTAGATTCACGATAAAAAAAATTGAAAAAATTGTCTCTGAACGTAATTTTTTCCGTACTTTCAAAATCTGTAGTCAGAATTCAACTTTTCGTGCAATGTCTATGTTTGACCTTGAAATGACCTTGAACCTGGCGTGCTTGGGTCAAGGGGATGTCGGATTTATGTTCAGCGACCCTCGAAACCATAGAAATACTAGTTACATTTTTTTATACTACTTTTATTCGAGTTTGACCTTCAAATGACCTTGATCCTGACGTGCTGGGGTCAAACTGACTGCGGATTCGGATTCAGCGTGGCAAAATACATGGGAATATATGTGTGTTGTTTTTGATACAGACCACTTTTTATTTTTTGTGTGCCTGTGTAATGCAAAAAATAATGCATTTTTTTCTTGTATTTCACCATTTAATTTCCGCAATAGAATTGTCAGCATAGAATTTTATTTATGCATTCGCAACGTCCCGTATAAGAGTGCGGACAGTCTACACCAGCCCATTGGAACACACAATTCTCGGCGATCGAGGGATTCTGCTTCGCAATAATACACATATGGGTAATTCTTGGCTATTTCGATTGACTTGTAACCCTTAGGTTACGGATTTTTTTTTCATTTGGCACAATTGTTGTACACATAAAACTGAGATTTTTCCCAAATTTTGGAGACGATACATTAATTATATCAAAAGTTATTAACAATTAAAGAAAAATGATAAAAAATTTTCAAACGGCTATATTTTAAAAACTAATAAAGATATCGAAGTCGGATTTTTTTCAAAATACTTATAATGCCTTAAAATTTCGAAATAATTACAACAATAAACAATAAAAATTTTTTTTCGAAAGTTATTAACTTTTTGTTTAAACAATTGCTAATATCTCAAAAAGTATATTTTTTTTTTTGAAAAATTCTTGCTCCTACGTATTCCTGAGGATTTTTGCTATCGAAATCAATCAAAAAATTCAAGGGCCCGACATATCAGAAAGCGTAGCCCTAATCAAAAGAAGACGCCTCGGCGTAAGGCTGCGGTAGCGCTCCAGCGGACTCACGGTCGAAGGCGACCGGACACCAAGGCATCTTCTTTTGATTAGGGCTACGCCTATACACGGTGTGTGTGTGTGTGTGTGTGTGTGTGCGTGTGTATACGTGTGATTATCCGTTATATTTAGAGTAAATAGGAGTCAAGTATATTTTTGCCTCTCTAGTCGCCAGTTTGGGTGATACATTGCGAAAATTGTGCATGCGTGACAAAAGTAATTTAGTTATAGCCAAAAAGAATAGAGAAAGAGATTTGAATGTATTACTTTAAAGATAGTGAATAATCTTGTTTGGTAGATTCGCTATTCCTCACTAAGTAACTTCCTTCTCTTAGTAACCGCAATATAGCTTCTGCTTCAATCCTTGTGATAGAGCCGTGGTACCAGCTGTGTGATAAAGAATTATTAAGAGACATTATTAGTGTGAAAAGATTTCGAACATGTGAATATAAAATGTTTAACAAAAAGTTAACAGGATGAAAATTGAAAATATAATATATCACACGATACATCACATAATTCATTATGTAACGTCACGTGATATATTACATAATTTTTACGTAGGTCATCATACAGTGCTGCATACGATTATTCATATAATTTACCATATGATACGCTGTTTTAAGTGTCAAATCTTTTCTTATAGTATATTATAGATCATATGATTCTTAAAATGATTTATTATATGATTAATTATATGATAAATCCTCGAATCAGTAGATGCACTATTCGCGTATAGTGATAGTGAATTGAGTACCCTTGTCTTTCAAGCGGTAGATCCACGTCAATAAGATCGGCCAATCCTCGTGAAGTAGACAATTCAAGTGATAGTCCTAGATAGAGGGCTGCAGGCTTTTGTAATTGTTCTGACGGAACCTCGCTTATTGTACCTAGATCAAGTCCATTATGTTCACTGCCACTAAGATTCAGCGTCATTTTTGCTCGACCCAGGCTGCCACCTGAAAAACAGTTGCACATCCATTATATTCAACATTTGCATCTGAATATCCTTGTTAGATTGTAATACATTTTTATTCATATATCTGAAAGTCTTAAAAGACAGGTCAAAAAGTGAAAAAGAAGCAGATTTAATGACCAAAAAAAGTTATAACTATTTAAAAGCTTATAAAAGCAGCTTTAAAATGAGTCGTGATGAATTCAGTTATGTCTAGCTCCTAATATTATGCTTTAAAACGACTCTCCTATCAATATTATACACACAAAGTGGTTCTTATACAGGGTGAGTCATTTTAATTTCCCCAGTCTAATAACTTTTGAAACAAGCAAATTACGCAAAAATGTTTCAGACCAAAGTTGTAGGGGTTCAAGAGGGACGTCTAGGGGTGACTTTGAAATTGACCTTGAGCTTGACCTTGACGGCTTTCTCAAGGTCAAGTCTATTTTTTTATTGGGAACCCCTATTTCTGACCTCGGAATCGGAAAGAGCGGGAAATTTTACATCCAGATAACATCTTTTAACATGGGTCAAAATAAACCCTTAAGGTCATGCTAAGGTCAAAACTATCCTGGAACAAGAATCGAACAATGTAAGCAAAATACGAAAAAATGACTCAGAAAAAAGTTGTAGGAGTTCAAGGGGGACGTCTAGGGGTGACTTTGAAATTGACCTTGAGCTTGACCTTGACGGCTTTCTCAAGGTCAAGTCTATTTTTTTATTGGGAACCCTTATTTCTGACCTCGGAATCGGAAAGAGCAGGAAATTTTACAAGATTTAAATTTTTTAAATTTAAAAATTTTTTAAATTTAATTTTTTTAAATTTTACGGGACTATTCTTGTTTTCGTTCCCTATCCTTTTTTATTTTTCACCGGACTGTATGATTATTATTAATAAATTTCAAATATTGGAAGTTGTTGCTAATAATTTGCTATTACAAGTCTATTAAATTAATGAAACTATTTCAGTATCAATCTGATGTTCTGCAAAGAAATAAGAGTAAAAGTTAAATACATAAGGATAAATTTCATGTTCAATGAAGAATCTATTACATTTGGAAGTCGTTTAGAAAGTAATCACAATACGTTCAGTCGTGATTTCAATTTTGAAAAAGCTTTAAATATTACTTTTGTTTTAACCATGCTTGTGTTCATTGTATCACTATCATTATTTCTTCATATTTGAATAAGAGACCTTTCTTATTGCCATCGATCATATGAAATCTAATTTGGACAATATTGCCTCTGTTTTCAGTAATATTTAATTTGTATCATCTTTCTATGATCTTTGCCTTTGTTGATTTGTATTGAGGTTTTTTGAAAAAATCTTTTAAATATGGCTGATTTTACCCCAACAGAGATAGTTGATATGATTTGGATTTTAGGAGAATGTAGAGGTAATTACCGTGAAGCGTCAAGGTTGTATCGAATTCGATACCCACAAAGGCGCCATCCTGATCACCGTACCATTCATCGTCTTGAAGAAAGAGCTCGACAAGGGCATCTACGAAGAAGTCGACCAAGACATGAGTATGATGATAGAGATGCTAGGGTTTTGGTTGTCTTAGGATTGGTTCACCTAAATCCTCATATCAGCAGCCGACAAATAGAGAGAGAAACAGGAATACCTCAGAGAACCGTTATTAAAATTTTAAGAAGTAATAGATATCATCCGTATCATATTACCTTAACGCAAGCATTAAACGCTAATGATATGAGAAACAGAGTAAATTTCTGTCGGTGGGCTCTACAGATGATTTTGCAGGATCCGAATTTTTTTAATTATGTCCTTTTTTCTGATGAAGCTACGTTTTATAGTACTGGCCAATTGAATCGTCACAACAGTCATTATTGGTCTGATCAGAATCCTCACTGGTACAGACCAGTCGATAATCAACATCGTTGGAGTGTAAATGTATGGTGTGGAATAGTTAATGGTCATCTCATCGGGCCATTCTTTTTTGAAGAAAACGTCAACGGCAATGCTATTTTAGAACTTTTAAGGGATCATCTCCCACTTTTACTTGAAGACGTAGATCTTGAGACTAGACGTCGAATGTGGATACAACTGGATGGTGCAGGACCGCATTTCGCTTTAATTGTACGAGAGTTTTTAAATAGAAATTTCCAACAAAGGTGGATTGGAAGAGGTGGTCCAGTTGCTTGGCCTGCACGATCACCGGACTTACCTTCCCCAGATTTCTTCCTTTGGGGATACTTAAAAAATACTGTGTTCGTCGAAGCGCCCACAACAAGGGAGAATATGATAGAAAGGATTAGAGTTGCATGTAGACAAATCTCTAGAGATATCTTACTGCGCACTATTGAAAGCTTCGAACAGAGGCTCAGGCAATGCATCGACGTAAATGGTAATAATTTCGAGCAAAACCGATAGGAAATAAGTTTATTCTAGTTTCATCACGAATTGTGAGAGGCAAGGGGACTCACATTAATAAAGCACCCCAAATCGTGAGAGGCAAGGGGATTCACGTTAATAAAGCACCCCGAATCGTGAGAGGAAAGGGGACTCACGTTAATAAAGCACCCCAGAGGGAACATAATCCTATTACGTCCACGTCGTTGTTCCTGGGTAGTGCTAAAGATAGGAAGTTTATGATCTTAAACATCAGCATCGTTAGTACATGGCCAGTCCCTTATTCTTTGGAAGTTTATTTAACAACGGTCATATGCGATAAAAGCTTCGCCTCGAAATGTAACAAAAATAAGAGAATTTTCAAGAATTTGACCTTTGCTTCACATTGAGAATAGAAGTACGACAAAGGTCTTCGATGCTCGTTAAACCTTTTGATGTTTGAAAGCGGCTTCAATTTCTTAAGTAAAAACTGAAATATTGTTTATGTTCTTATGAAAAAAAACTAAATAGATACTTGAACGTAAAATTTCCCGCTCTTTCTGATCCTGAGATCAGAAATAGGGGTTCCCAATAAAAAAATAGACTTGACCTTGAGAAAGCCGTCAAGGTCAAGCTCAAGGTCAATTTCAAAGTCACCCCTAGACGTCCCTCTTGAACCCCTACAACTTTGGTCTGAAACATTTTTGCGTAATTTGCTTGTTTCAAAAGTTATTAGACTGGGGAAATTAAAATGACTCACCCTGTATATTTCTATTTGAAAAACGTATTATTTTTTTATTTTAACATAGTTTTTCTTTATTTTTATCAAAGTATTGTTATGAGTTACCCTATAATATGTATAATATATATATAATATATATATATATCGAATATATAATATAATATATAATATGATATATATATATAATATATATATCTAACGTATTAAGAACAAAAGCAATCATAGATAATTTGATTATTCACTTCAACTGCTGTTTTATAAATTAATCAATTCTGGGGATCCATATGAGAAATCATGCTTAACCTGTTTAGTGTATTGTGATTAATAAATACGCTTAAGTGTGTTTTATAATAAATTCTCATGTTATTTATTATTGTGTAAGTGGAACAATATACTTCAATTTTTATTTTTTTTAGATCTATACCATTTGTGAACAAGCTGACAATGAGTACACTTTGTGAATAAATATTTTATATACTATTGAGGAAAATTTATGAGAATATGACGTTTGGTTATTGTCTTTGCGAAAAATATTGGTGTGATCTACAAGTAAATATTTTTTCACTTATAGGCTTAATATTTTTATTATTTGATAGATTCTTATATACTTTTTTTTCCTAGATAATATGAAAATGTAAATGAAATTTATAGATCACGCATGAAAATTGGCTACGTGAATTAATTATTATTCTTTTTTTCTGTTTTATTATTATTTAATTAAGTTATGATGTTTTGAACTTTAATTGTTATAATATGAACAGTGAGTGCAAACTGAAATAGAAAGAATTAAAAAATGTTATCAAATGCTGTTAAGCACAAAATCAGAAAATTATCTACAAATTATTAAATACACTAAAATACAATATTCAATTAGTATATTGTTAATCTCATTGTCGATAAAACAAAACCTCACATTGACTGGAAAACAATTCCCATTCGATTTTTTTACAAACACCTTCTGGATATATCCGTGAATAAGAATCAAAAGTTTTCCAGAAAAAAATCCTCGTGCAAAAATCTTTAAACTAATTTTTTGTAACAATTATAAAACTGAGTTTTTTCATGTGAAAATATTTTTTTGGCTTAAATTCTTTATTAAGTTAAATTTTTTGTTAAGTTGACCATTCTCAAGTTACAAATTATTTAATGTTCGAAAAAACGCTAAAACGACCATTTTTGAGACAGAAAAACAATATCAAAAAATAAAATTTTTGAACTTGACAAAGTTATGAATAAATCTTGTAACATTCTTTTATAAAATCCTGACGAACGTTTGGAGCTTGTATCATTTTACAGCTCTATTTGGAATTGTTAAATAGACGCTGTCTAAGCAGCGAGAGCCGCGCACCTAGCGGAGCGCTCGTACTATCGACTTGATTATATAGGTTCGCATTTGTAAAAAATACATGAAACAGTACATATACATGGAAAAATTCCTTAAATTCTATACGGAATGTAGTATTTAAAAATTTTTTTTCAGTGTAAATGTTCGAAGACTTATAAAACTAAAGCATGTCACTGTAAAAAGATTAATGTCACGTATTTACCTTTATGTGGTTGTAGTGATGAGTGTGAGAATGCGGTAATATAAATTATTTATTTATTTAAAAATTATCGAATTGGTTAATGAAATTTTCTTACAACTTTATTTGGAACGCAAGTTTATTTGGGAAGACAACTAAGCAGACGACGTTTTAAAACTTTCGTCATTGAAAGTTAGATTCTTTAAAGAAAAATGATTATTTATATTACTAACTAGGGTTTTGATTTGCTATTTAATCAGTACTGACAACAAATGAAACTATTTATCTATTTTACAACAGTTTATCACATTGATTTTTAAAATGAAAATGCAAAATTTAGTAAGTTGTAACGGTAGGTTAACTAAATTGTTATTTAACATTCCTGA